CCCCAAAACCCCAAAACCCCAAAACCCCAAAACCCCAAAACCCCTTGGTAAAATAATCGAGTTGAATTGTACTCTCAAACAATATTTTCGAAATAATATTATCTCTAAAGTAATTCTGAAGCCTAGTAATATTCCTTTACCTTCATGTAAGCTCCTTCGAGTTTTACTCTATCACTCAAGCCTGTATTTCTAAGCATTTCTCTCATCTCTGAATCAGAGATATTGCTGAAGACTTTGAGAGACAAGTATCTATCTTTTATTGAACTTTTACTGATGAAGCTCAGAAAATCTTCAAACTTATAAGAATCAGAATCCCAGTCAGATCTCTGTTTTCCATGGCATTTGATGAACACCAGCTCTTGAAGACTGAAAGTTGCTCTGGCAGGAATCTTGGCCCCCTCGACATCAATCTTGCAATTGATAAAGTTAAGCCTCTTGACGCTTGGAATTGAGATCATAAGCTTTTGCATAGTTCCAGGAGAGATATCACTACCAGAGATAGTTATGATAGTACTCACTCGAGGTCCCAAGTGCTTTAAGATTCTTGAAGCGTCACATCTAGGATCAATATTTTCCTTTGAAGGAGTTGGACAGCCTATCTTCAAGTGTTCTATACCTAAACCAGATATATGAACTCATATTTACCTGCACTTCCTATCCTAGATTGCAACAAAAATTTTAAGAATTGGGTTGGCAGTTGTTCGGTTAAGCAAACAATTTCTAGAGTTTCTATCTTTGACTTAAAATTCTTCAATTTCTTAAGCGGGCTGAAAAATTTATTCTATATGAACAAATGAGGATGACAGACTCTCATTATATAAGCCTACCTCTGTACTAAGGGAGAAACTGTTTCCCTCATTATTCGATCTCTCTGAATAATAACTTATTGCTTTCTTTGGGAATTTATGGAGAAATTCTTGATTTATCTTCAATTCTTCCTTAAGAAGAGGTAATTCAACAATGTGTCTCTTCCTTAGAGAATTATGTCCTTTTAAGTATTTTTTCATTTACCCTTCAATAAAAAATTGAAATTATGGGGTTTTGGGGTTTTGGGGTTTTGGGGTTTTGGGGTTTTGGGGTTTTGGG